ATACTATAATAAATTGGTTAATCGTTAGAGTACCAGAACACTGCTTTTTCAACAACCAGCACAGTGAAACTTGGGGACATTAAGGCATAACGTGTCTCCAAATTTTCCTTTAAAATGCCTTTGAAGAGTAATTGGAAAAGTAAAGCAAAATGATTATATGAAAACTAAGAAGGGTGAATGATCCCTCTCATAACTTCAATGGCCTAATAGTTTTTCTAGATTGATTCTATCCTGCCATAACTCTGCCAATTACTGCATTAATGTTTATCGTGGTTTCAGCAATCCATCAGTACCAAACAATGATCAATTATGTAAAGCAGCTTAATACAGATAACATTCAGAAGGGAGGATTTTGATACAAATAGGCTATTTTCACACAAAGTAATACCACGAGACATTCTAAATGCCACAAGTCAGTATGGTTTGGCCTATTTCACAACAGACACTATAGCAGGTGTGTGATCATTTTAAGAGATAAACTCAGGACCTCATCGGATCAACTGGTTTTCTTGCAAAGATTTAGTTGAACCCTCTTTCCCTTTCTAGAGCCCCATTTCATTCCCCAGATGCTTCAATACTCAGATTTAGCTGTCATTTTTATTTTAGGGCAGTGTTCATGGAAAATACTTCAAAATACCCTAGATAGGTATTATCTATTTCACGCTGTAGCCATTACAGGTTTTTCTTAAGAATATTCATGTAAAGACAATGTTAACAAAAACAAATGAGCACGGTAGTTCAAAATTGGATGAAGTCATAGAAACCAATCCTACTTTAACCACTCTGAGCTATACTGAGTTTTAGTACTGAGGAAAGGGCAGTACATAAATTATTAATAATACTAAATAATTACAGCAACAATTAACTTTTAGTTTAGAAAAGTGCCTGTTTATTTTTGTGAAAGCCTAACATATGGGCTCTTTCCTCAGGGGCACAACATTACTATTGAAACAGCTTTGGATATGAATTGAAAGAACTCAGTCAAATTTGACTTGTGTTTGCAAGGCAACATTCTATTCACCTCCAGTAGTCCTTTCAATACATAAAAGTTACTCATGAACTTACAGATCACCAAGACATATTTCCAAATCCCCAGTTTCCCATCTAGGGAAACACACTGCTGTGAGTAACTATGCACATTTATTTCGGGCAAGAAAAGCCACACAGCACTTCTCCAATTACAGAAGGAGACCCTAAATCACAACAGTAAAAAAACAACATCCAGGAAGGCAGAGCATTAGAAAGCCATTTCAATGATACAACAAAAGAGTGTTCCATAGCTTCAATACAAAACAGGGATTTCCACTGAACAGCCCCTGTACAACTTCTCTTCAAAAGAAGCATTTATCTTTTCAGAAAAATTGTTTTCATGCTCTCTTTTGGGCACAAAAATAACTGTCTTAGCATAAACATCTCAATGAATATTGGCTGCCTCTGTGATGGCAAAAGCATTCATCAGCAAGAGAGATAAATCAAGTTAAAATGTCATGTTTAATCAAACACTTATGCCACTATTCTAGAGCTTTGAAATTAACCAGGTCTTCTCCCTTTCTCTAGAGAGTAAATACAGATAACATTCAAATTATCAAAGACTACAACCACCTAGAAAAAACTACAGCCATTTTTATTTATTATAATATTGGGGGGGGGGGGGTTCAAGTGCTTCAATAAAACTATCTGTGTTTTCTGAGATTTATTTTATGAAATTGTTTACAGAAATGTTCACATAGATAATATGTACCTCATAAACCCATCAGGTGGGGGGGGGGGGAAGCAGAAGCCAAAGAATAAGACAGTGTTACACATGTTCCTACTTCTTGACTTTATCCATTATGTTCGCTCAGCACAAGTAATCTGATTTAAATCCAAGTAACCTACTCAGAGGAAGGTACTGAGGTGACGTGCTGTTCTTCTGAGGGGTCAAAACAGATGTAGATTCTCCATGCACATTTAAATTTAGAACACTGTCTAAATACAGATAGCATTTGTAAACAAAGGCATATATTTTAAATACTCTTCAAAAAATGGACAGGAGCCCATACTTCTATTCGAAAGTAACACATATCAACAGAACCTGGAAATGTTTGGTTTTATTTTGAATTCCAACTTCCAAAATCCCTCAAGCAGCATGGCACAGCATTTTTCAAAACTAACTTTGCTACCACATGGCAGAGGAATGCCATGGACATAACCAAGTTGATCCTACGAAGTATGGTGCTAGGACAGCTCCAAGAAAGAGAAAAACAACTAAAAGTTGAAAGACACACTTTGGCCTATAATATGGCACAAAACTTTTAATATCCATATGAGACTGCTGACAGGAAGTCATGAAAGAGCATGGATAAAAGTATTACCAATAAATGAATGAAATTTAAGTTTTGCCTCTCAATTCCATTAGCCTCTTCTGGTAAGTGTACTTGAGAGCCTGTAATTTTTAACACCATATATTGTAGGAGTTCTCTTGTGTTCTTGGATAACTGAACTAGCAATACTAAGCTAGAATGCTAACTTCATCCCTATTTGGAGAAATCTGATCATACCATCAGCGGAAAGATACAAAAACAATGGGAAGAAGATTTACATTCTTTTGAGTTCCTATGCTATGGAAGGCCAAGGAGAAATAGAAGCCCTCAAAGATGGCTTCAGAAAGTCCATCCCTAGCATTAGCATGACATGACTCATCCTTCTCTATTATCGGAGGTTAAGTGTATCCAGAGGGCGAGACTCTGCCCTTTTGGAGCTGACAAAGAATACAGTATGGCTCATACCAAGCCTAGATAAAACTCCCTCAGTAGAAATATCAGGAGGCCCATTCACACTGCACAATTATAGCATTCTTTTACTGCCATGTTAACATCCTACAGAATAATGCAGTTTACAGTTAGTAAGATACCAGAGCTTCTTGGCTGAAAATTCTAAATACCTATATCTAAACTCCAAATGTCTTGTTAAATATTCTAATGGCACTAGATCTTGATCTTAGAAGCTAAACAGAATTAGCCCTAGTTAATACTTGGGATGGGGAACCAGCAATGAATATGGTTCAGAAGAAGAAACTGGCAAAACTTCTTGAAAGTATTCTTTTCCCAAAAATCATCAAAAGTCATCAGACAACTTGAATGTATATATACACAAACTCCAAATCCCAAGATTCCACAAAGTTGAACCGTGGCTGTTAAGCTAAAAGTATAGCGATATAATTAGGGAACATGAATGGGCCTTTCATTCAGAAGATAGGCAGGAAGTCAGGTTTAAAACACACTATAAACCTCATAGTTACTTTTCATATGAAACTATTTCATATGAAACTATTTCATATGAAGCTACTGATAATTAAAACTACAAGCTATTGATAATTGGTGCAACAATTCAAGGCTTCCTTCAGGAAATAGTTTAATTTGGAACAATCAACAAACCCCTCTTACATCAAAACAAAACAAAAAGCAACCAACTACTTCATTTGGCGTATCTGGCATGAAAAATACTGAAAATGCTTTGCATCCTGCAATTTCAAATATTCAGCCAAAATTGAATTGTTCGTGTATAAATATACTACCTTATCCATATCTCATTGATATGCAAACTTGCTTTTGTCTTTAATAAATGGTTAAAATATATCATATTTCATGATGATTTATCAACAGTAAGAAGTTTGATTTGTATATCTCTTGTATATACCTATATATCCAGAACAGTGTAAAAATCTCTTGAGCAAAAAGGCATCACGAGTGAAAAGTTTAAGAAGCCCTGCAACAATTGAGACTGTAACTGCCTTTTAATCTGTCAGGACACCATAGTATTAGACTAATACAAAGGTTATTACACATGGCAAATCTGGGATACCAAAAGGACACTATTTTTCCTAGTGTAAATCAAAAATATTTTTCTAAATAAAACAGTTTAGTAGTAATCAAAATAGGGGAGGACCATTTAAAAAAAACACTGCTCCATGTTTTCCCATCATTATTCTCTACAAATCTTGGCAACAAGAGCTAAAATAGTGAAACCAATCAAGCTTTTCTATCTGTCAAGTATAGTATGAAATAATATCCCAGCACCACCTGTCTATAAGTTGCCTATTTTGGAGATGAGCAGGCAAAAAACAAGATTCAAGAGGATCTATTTTAACTCCTTTAAGTATTCACAAACAAAGCTTGCTGTAGTGCATCTTTTTATAATCTTTTTAAAAATAAAAGCTCTGCAAGGTCATCTTTTCTCATGCATTAGAAGTATTTTATTTAAATTTTCATAAGGATTTTAAAAGTTACAAGCTCTCAGTATTGGTGAGTCAAATAAATAGATTTCATATTTATGCTGATTACGCCTGGCCATCCAGCTTCTGCTTAAACACTGCAGTGAATGAGATTCCATCACATTCCTAAGGTGGCATATTCCCATAATATCTGGTTTAAACTGGAATATGAGTTCCCACTTCCAGATAACCTGGGGTAAACAGATAATCTGGAATCTGTTGCTGGGATAAACGGGCAGTGTAGAAGGGCCTTAAATCTCTACAGCAGCAGAAAACAAGCTTGCCTCTCCTTAGTGTGACATCCTTTCAAATATTTTAACATAGCTATCGTATCACCTGTCATCACCTATGCCTTGGAACCATGCCTGGGAGTACTTCTCCATAATCAACCAGAAGTTGTCCCAAATATATCAGCTATTCAACACACATAAGCAGGGCAAAATATATGTACAGTGGGTTCTGTGTATTAATAATATGAGGTGTGGCAATCTGCAGCCAGTGGAAATTGCAGATCTAAAGAGCCCACTGCAGTTTGCCCAGTTTCTTCTTCTGGTCATATTCTAGAGTTACCAAGAAATATTTCCATCCAGGGAAGTAGTTAATGTCTAGGAAACATGCTTCAAATATTTTACTTACCATGCTAAGTCAAGAACTATCAAAAGAGGGAGCACCTGGACCATTGAAACAGATCTTAAAAGGCTAGTGGGGACAAGCTTTTCTCCAACATCTGAATGTAAACTAGATGTACCTCTTTAAATAGATCATGGAGGGATCCAACTACATCATATGCCAAAGGCTGTATCTGTATGTAAATATGGGTTGGGATAATCAGGTTAGTAGAAATAGAAAAAGTACCTTGCTAATACCAAATACGAAAGTAGGATAGATGTCAGACTGGTCGCTATCCTTCAATATTCTTTACTGCTATCCTTCAATAAGGAGGTGAGCCTTTTGAGGACTAATTGTTCAGGGAGAAGAAAACCTTTCATGTGATTTTTGTCAATCAATCCTCACTTCTGATCCCCAGCAATAGTAAAAATCCCCTGCAAAAACAAAAATAATCTAACATGTGCATTCCCTCCCTCTTTTTCACAGCGTCAAAGGTTTAGACATCACCAAGACAAACAGATCTCTGGGTCACCAGTAACAGAACTAGGTAAGCCCAAGAGCAAGGAAAGGTTAATCAGACTGGAAAGAGGATTGCCTTACTACTTACTACAAAACACTTTATCTGGGCTGAGGGCAGACAATGACAATCAACTCAGAGAAAATGGCTAAAATGCAAATAAAAACCCCACAAGAGCCTTAACGCATATTTCACAAAATCAGAATTGAAGAGGGGAACCATATAGAATACATTTTATTAAAAAGAAGAAGAAAAAATAAACTGTGGAAAGGCAAGATTGATTGCATCAGAAAGAAAAGTGATTCCATATGGGAAATACTTTTTCATGAGATTTTGTTACTTTTTTGTGTTTTGGGTCACACAGCCATATCATGTTAGAAAAAAACCGACTGTCATTTTTGGAACATGACTTCAAAGTCAACTTCTCTACAATCCTTCTGCTGCTTGGAGCCACAAAAATCTGTGGTTTTGGCTTCTTTGTTCCCACTGGCTCTTTTTGCTTGTGATAGCATAGTTTGATAAATAGTGGGTTTCACTGAGTTCTTCCATCTTACAATCTGTGGGTTTGCTATACATTTCAAATATGTTCAAATAACTAAAAACAGATGCCTGAAAGGTTCGTGTGGGCAGGGGGGAAACAGCCTTCCTTGATAGACATGAACAAATAAAACACTAGGAGAAATACACGGAGCTACAGCAGCAGCTGCAGACATGCCAGAGAAGCACACAGATAATCACGCCTCCTGTTCTGCTGGAGCTCCAAACACTCTCACTCTTCTGCTCTGGTGTCATTATTCCAAAATAACAGCCACCTCCTACAAGCAACGAGTAAATGTCCTTCACTTTCCCCAACTTAATAACAGATATGCCTAGAAATGATCCACCCTTTTGATCATTCCGGTTTTGAATAAACCATGCATCTACCGAAGAGTATTAAAAGCATCTGCCTTACTATAAATAATCAAAACACTGTCCTGCAACGAACAAAGATTTTTCCAATACTGTGGCTGCGTTGAATGTATTTTTGGAAGCTTATATTAAAAAATATACTAAAAATGTAGTACCCCACACAGTTATTTCACAAAGTCACTATTTTTATCGATTCAGATGTTACTCAGTTTTGATTAAGTGGAAACGTTGATATTCCAATGTGATTTCCATTAGTGCTTTGGAATGCATTTCTGTGTTTCCTATCAGCAAAATAAGTGTTATGAAAGTCTGTTGGAGGACTTTAATCCCCGTCTTACTGTTTACTTTTTGTGTATGTGATGGTGCCTTCAAGTTGCCTGTTGACTTATAGTGACTCTCTAATACATTTCATTTTCCTAGACAAGCAACACTAAAATCTGGATTTGCCATATCCTTCCTCTGAAATATAGCTTACAGCACCTGGGGATTCTTTGGTGGTTTCCCATCCAGGTCCATAAGCTGGCACTGCTTAGCTTCAAAACCAAACAAGATCTGGTGCCTTTAAGGCAGTGGTTCTGAATCTTTGGTGTTTCGGACTTCAGCTCCCCAGAATTCCTGACACTGAGGAATCTGGGAGTTGAAATCCCAAACAGCTCATGCACCAAAGCTTGGAAACCACTGCTTTAGGTTATTTAGACATACTATTACTCCTTAAGCAAAAGTAAAGGTTTCCCCTGACATTAAGTCTAGTCATGTCCGACTCTGGGAGGTGGTGCTCATCTCCATTTCTAAGCCAAAGAGATGGTGTTGTCCATATACGCCTCAAGCTCATGTGGCTGGCATGACTGCACGGAGAGCCATTACCTTCCCGCAGAAGCAGTACCTATTTATTGACTCACATTTGCATGTTTTCGAACTGCTAGGTTGGCAGAAGCTGGGCCTAACAGAGGGAGCTCACCCCACACCCAGGATTCGAACTGTCAACCTTTTGGTCAGCAAGTTCAAAGGGCCACCGGGGTTATTACCCTTTACTTCTATTTAAAATGATTGTTTTAATGGTTTCTTCTTAAATTGTAGCAAACCCTCTTTAATCGCAAATCTGGAGAATATAACTCCAATAAATGAATAAATACTCCCCAAAGAACTTTTACTCAGGAGTCATCTACACTATATCATAGAATTATAGAATCATAGAACTCTTTGTGGACGCCTCCTTAAGAATTGGAAAAGACCTCGTGGGTCATCCAGCCCAACCCCCTGCCAAGAAGCAAGAAAATTGCATTCAAAGCATCCCTGACAGATGGCCATCCAGCCTCTGTTTAAAAGCTTCCAAAGGAGCCTCCACCACACTCTGGGGCAGAGAGTTCCACTGCTGAACGGCTCTCACAGAGTTAGTAAGTTATTCCTAATGTTCAAATGGAATCTCCTTTCTTGTAGTTTGACACCATTGTTCCGCATCCTAGTCTCCAGGGAAGCAGAAAACAAGCTTGCTCCCTCCTCCTTATGACTTCTCCTCACATGGCTATCAGGTCTCCTCTCAGCCTTCTCTTCTTCAGGCTAAACATTCCCAGCTCTTTAAGCCACTCCTCATAGGTCTTGTTCTCCAGACCTCTGATCATTTGGATACATTCCAGCTTGTCCATATCTCTCTTCAATTGTGGTGCCCAGAATTGGACACAATATTCCAAGTGTGGTCTAACCAAAGCAGAATAGGGGGATAGCATGACTTCCCTAAATCTAGACACTATTCTCCTTTTGCAGTTTTGTAGCATATTGTAGTATAAATGCAGTTTAACACCACTTTGACTGCCATGCCTCAGTGCTTTCTCTCCCAACTCAGCAAACTACAAATCCCATGATTCCATAGAACTGGCCCAAGAAGTTAAAATGGTTTCAAGCTAAAAATATAGATGCACTCCGAGTACTTGGCTTTGAAATTTTGAAATCCAAAACCAGGTTTGTTTTATCGTGTATACGAGACATAGGCAAACTTGGGGCCTCCAGGGGTCTTGGACTTCAACTCCCATCATTCCTGACAGCCTCAGGCCCTTTCCTTTTCCCCCTCAGCCGCTTAAGGGGCCTGAGGCTGTCAGGAATGATGGGAGTTGAAGTCCAAGACCCCTGGAGGCCCCAAGTTTGCCCATGCCTCATGTACATGTACAACAGATAGATATATTGATAGTTCTGGAGTCATGTGGGAAGTGCCACCCTTTCCCTCAAGATCTATGTCTTTCAAAGGAAATACTCCTTCTCTCCCTCTTCTTCCTTCACAGATTTCCCCCCAAACCTCTTCCTGCACAACTGAAGGTGCATCTACACTGCAGAATGAATGCAGTTTAGACGTCACTTTAACTGTCATGTCTCAATGCTATGGAATCATGTCAGTTGGGATTTTATTATAGCATTGAACCACGGTGTCGAGCTGCATCAATTCGACAAGGCTGCCCTGAGAAAGGAGGCTTCCTGCCCTTGCCCACCCAGGCCCCAATTCGAGGCCTTTCCCTGCCCGGATTCTGAGGCGCTGTTTCCCTCAGGAACCAACGTTGGCGAAGGGGGCGGGGGCCTTCCCCTTCTTTTCCTTCCTCCCTGGCTTGTTTGCTTCCTTTCCTTTCTCTTCCTGCCCTCCTTCTTCTCCCCCAGGCAAGGCCCAACCGACGCCGCGCTCGCAGTGCAGGCCCAGCCCGTGAGGGAGCCCCCTTACCTCGCCCCTTTTCTCCTCGGTGTCACCACGAGGCGCGCAGCTTGTTTACTAACTCCTCCGCCCCGCTGGGCTTGAAGCCCGGTACCGGACTCCGCCCCCGAACGTCTCCTATTGGTCCGCCGACTCAAAACTCCGCCCTTTCACGTCCCCGATTGGTCCGCCTTCCCCTTCCCTCTCCGTTCCTTGAGAAGAAGAGCGTGCTGAGCTCGTGCACTGGGCGTTCTATCCAATGGGAACACGGGGCGGGGACAGTCTGGACCAATAAGAAGGCGGCGTTGCTCCGTCCATGTTGCGCCGCGAGGTTGGTGACAGGAGGAGAGGAAATGGATGCGGGGCGGTGAGAGAGGAGGGGGGGGCTTTTGCGCATGTGCAGCACAGCACGTCCGTGCCCGCCTGTGTTGCTTTTGGGTGGCAGGAGAACCAGTCTTCCCATTCCCTTCCCGAAAGCCCCTGATTTCCCAGGATGCCCAGCCTGGAAGTTACGTGCCTCTCTGCACATAGCCCTCTTGAAGAGCATTTCAGTTGCTGTTGCAGAGACAGAGCCCTCTATGATGGGAAAACTATTCCCTTTCCCATAAGGACAGCCTCCTCGACTGTCCTCTGAGAGTATCATATTCATTCCAGTCATTATAGATGTGCTGTCGCACGCTGGGCCTGTGCATCAGACTGTAGACAGGACATAAATTCTGTGTGCCCAACGGGATGCCAGGGCTGCCTCAGATTAAAGGCCTTTGGATTTCCTTAAAACACAGTCTCTAGAATACTTAAAGGTTCAACAAAGTTCTTTATTAATGAAAACAAACAGGTACTTTAAGTAAGTTCTTGTGGGTTTTTTGGGGCTATATGGCCATGTTCTAGAGGCATTTCTCCGGATGTTTCGCCTGCATCTATGGCAAGCATCCTCAGAGGTGAGGTCTGCTGGAACTGGGAAAAAGGGGTTTATATATCTGTGGAATGACCAGGGTGAGACAAAGGGCTTTTGTAAGTTGGGCTAGGTGTGAATCTTTCAACTGACCACCTTGATTAGCATACAATGGGCTGACTGTGCCTGGAGCAAACTCTTCTTGAAAGGTAATTAGATGTCCCTGCCTGTTTCCTCTCTGCTGTTTTTACTGTTGCAATTTTAGAATTTTTTAATACTGGTAGCCATGAAAATGAACAAGATCTGATCTCCCTAGGGAGGGCGTTGCATAGCCGAGGGGCCACCACTGAGAAGGCCCTGTCTCTCGTCCCCACCAAACGTGAAAGAAGAAAGTGCAAAAGCTGGGTTCTAGCTAAACATCAAGAAAACCAAGATTATGGCAGCAAGAATGATTGATAACTGGCAAATAGAGGGAGAACACATGGAGGCCATGACAGACTTTGTATTTCTAGTTGCAAAGATTACTACAGTTAAAGCAATGGTATTCCCCATCGTCACCTAGGGATGTGAGAGCTGGACCATAGGGAAGCTGAGCAGAAAAATAAATACATGAAAAAACAAAATAAACAATCACAAAATAACATGATAGAGAAATAGGACACAATGGGTGGGCCAAATGCACTAGGATAAAATTGGTAAAACCCTGAATGAGATAAGTGGTGGGAGCAGGCAGGTAGCCGATGGGGGGGGGCTTCAGCCCCCCCCCCCGAAATTCTCATGGTGGTCCGCGAGAAGGCCTTACTGGTACATTATTTAAACTGTTATGTTTATTCATATCATGATCTGATCACCATGCTCAATATATCCCATATGCATGGGGGTATTGGGGTAACGATACAAAAGGTTTGCTAGGGTAGACCCTCTTTCACTCAGACTCACCCCCCCCCCCCCCAATCAAAATCCTGGCTACGGGCCTGGGTGGGAGAATGTGTTTCTGAGGGAGGTGCTCAAAAGGAATGAGCGATGGGGTTAGACCTTCATTAAGGTCTTTGAAGTTGTCTTTAAGCCCATATTTACATCTCTTTTCCTGTCCACCCATTTCCTGTTCTTGAGTTGGGACTATAGTAACTGCTTTGGGAGACTGTGATCAGGCATTCGGACTATGTGGCCAGTCCAGTGGAGTTGATGGTGGAGACCATCGCTTCAATGCGAGGAACATCGCTTCTTTCAGAACACTTGCATTTGTCTGCCTGTCTTCCCAAGAGATTTGCAGGATTTTTCGGAGGCAACGCTGATGGAATCGTTCCAGGATTTGCGTATGATGCCTATAGAGAGTCCACATTTCGCAGGCATATAGCAGGATTGGGAGGACAATAGCTTTTTGAGCAAGCACCTTGGTATCCCTACGGATGTCCCGGTCCTCAAACACTCTCTGCTTCATTCAGAAAAATGCTGCACTCACAGAGCTCAAGCATTGTTGAATTTCAGTGTCAATGTTGATTTTTGTGGAGAGGTGGCTGCTAAGGTACTGGAAATGGTCAACATATTCTAATGTTACACCATTAAGCTGTATTTTTGGCATTGTAGAGGGAGAACACATATATGGCATTAAAAGATTCATTATTATTTTTAGTTACCTGTCTATTATGGCTTGAAATAATAAAAATATAAAGATAAAAACAAAAGGATTGAAATGCATGTATTAAAATAATCTTCTGGTGGTATAATAATTATTGCAATATTTAGCACTTGTTTCCCACTGCTCTTCAAGACCCAGAAGTACAGTGTAGTTAAAATACAGTACATAGATAAGGCTCGAGATGGGATGCAGCAGGCATGGGCAAACTTGGGTCCTCCAGGTGTTTTGGACTTCAACTCCCACAATTCCTAACAATTCCTAACATCCTCCGTCCCTTTCCTTTCCCCCCTCAGCCTCTTTGTAAAACTATAACACTAATTATTCCAACACATTTAGCCATAATAAGTAAAATGATGTAAAACTGCATTAAGTCTACTATACAGATGCACCTTAAAAGATTTTATATATGGCCTTTTAAAACTATAAAAAAGATTGTTTTAAAATTACATGATGTGAGTCGGTTGAAAGTTCTTTACTTTCCTCACTGTTACTATTTTCTTTCCAAGCTGTTACTATTTTGCAGATAAGTATGAATCAATATGCAGCCTTCCAGAAAGAACAGAACCTACACTTCCCAGGTCGAGGTCCATTATGCTGGATGGGATCACACTTCCATTATCTGGGTTTAGTGTCCTTGACCTTGAATTCTCTGTTCTCTGATATGTTCACTAATTGTTTACTCACTACACAAGTGCACCAATAAAATTATACAGGCTTCGTTCAGATCCATGCTTGCCGAGATCCTGTTGAAAACTGAACCATTATAAAATGTGTATTGCAACATGTAAGATTACATGTGTTTATTACATTTACGTGTTTATTATGTGTTTATTACATTTGCCTTTTTTTTCAAAGGAGATCAAAGACTGAGTCTCTGTTGTGTTTATTTTCAATTTAACACAATGGTACTACCTTCTGAGTACATATCCATAGGTGTGTCCCACATGATTGCAGTCCTCAGCACAGCAAACTAGGAATAAATCCAATCAACTTTGTTGGGAATGAAGATCTTTAACTGGGCTACAAAAAAGCAGAGAATCTATGCACAGAATCTATGGCCAACATGATATATCTGAAGATTTATTTTAGTTTGTCATTATTTGAGAGAGGAGCAGTACTGAATACAGAAGACAAATACGCACCCACAATGCATTAATATGCTTTATAAAATTATGACATTTGTGGCATGAATCCCAGTAGGAAAGAGATCAGTAAACAGAAATGGAACAGTATGTGCCCAAACATATTAAACATGTGGGGCCCCGAGGCTAACAAAGTGTCAGTTAAATAATCAGGCACATTAACCATGTATTTATGTGGAAGAATTGCTAGTTGAGCCTGGTATTCAGCATATATCAGAAGAATCCACAAAGGCTGTGGGATCATTTGCAGAGCTTGTAAAGTTCCTGGGATCTTTGGACTACAGTTTACTGAATCCTCGACCCAGTGTGGCCACAGAATTTACAGGTATTGTGCCATTTTGCAAAGAAAAGCAACTTAGCAAGTTCAGTATGAACTTAAAGTGTGGTCAAACTACATTAATTCTGCAGTGTAGGTACTCGATGTGTAGATGCATACCCTATACAGTTTGACCCCACTTTAACTGTCATGGCTCAATGCGATGGAATTGTGGAAACTGTGGTTTGGTGCAGCACCAGCATTATTTGTCAGAGAAGGCTAAAGACCTTATATAACTACAATTCCCATGACTCCATCACATTGAACATACTCTATACACGAAGGCCAACACACCATGGCATTTTATGGTTCAGCAAGCTGTTCATGATGATACATGTTCGTTGTGTATGGAATGTGACAAATTAATATTGATTTGACACATTGTATAACTAACTTTTGTTCAGAAATATTGAACTTTAAATATAAAGTATTTATACCTGTCCCTATATTCTCACAGCTTCATGATCCTAATTTGAAGTTTCCCATTGTTTTATATGGTTAAATAGTTTTCTTTAGTCCCAGTTGGAATAAATATTATTCAAGTGTCTTGCTTCGAGTGGATATTTTTCTTACTCTTCTGCTATGTTGAAATTGGCTTTCAACACTGCATTGCCTAAGATAATTTACCCTGACGGCAGTATTTCAGCAATAGCATAATACTCACCCAACTTGGAATAGTTTGCAGTAGAATAGTTTGAAACATTTTTTCAATATCACTCTTTACAATATCGAGGACAACATATTTCATGTACTTATGTAGAAAATAGCCACATCATTTACTCAAGGCTTTGCTTCTGCAGAAAATAGTGTTTTGATACATAAGCCAATAAGTTAAGTGAACTTTAGCTGGAAAGAGTCACGGGATATTTAAAGCAAATCCAAAAAAAAAAAAAATGGGGGCAAGAGTGGCACAAGGAGATAATTGAACAATAATTATGATATGGGGATTTTGGTTGGAGAACTTTTAAGCCTGAATATGTAAATATCCTTGTAATGTGGTAGCCTTAAAAAATAGAACCTCCACTCATTCAGTTTGTATATGTGCAGGCGGAGGGAATGAACATGAGTAGGAGGAAATGGTGCTAGAATCTGAATTCAATAACTTATAATTCTTGTCA